CCCCCACCCCCACCCCCACCCCCACCCCCCCCCCCACCCCCACCCCCACCCCCACCCCCACCCCCACCCCCACCCCCACCACCACCACCACCACCACCACCACCACCGTGACGGCGACTACTAAACGACTCTTGCTTACTATTGCACTCTTCGGTGTGGGATACACAACGAAACATACTTTAGAGACGTCATGCTTTCGTGTTGGCTTGCCGTTTCAGGTTTTTTGTTTTTTTACCATCTGGGTTCGTTTTCAGGAGTTTTCAGTATGTTGTAGCTAAACAGGTTGAAGCTCTGATGGGGACAGTTGATGCCGATGCCATAGAGATGCATAATCCTGCAGCAGAGTCGGCTTTCGCCTATTCTGAGATGTGATAATACAACCAATCGAAATCCTGGCCTCAGTCGTTGAGCCCAGGCAGGTCTAGAACAGAGTGGTTTTCGGCCATGGCGCACTAGTATACCCTGCCAGAGATTGAGTCTTCTCCTGTTGCATTCAGGTAAGTCTGGGTCCCGATCCCAAGCCTCAAGACCCAAGCCCTGCTCAGAGTGTAACGTTTGGGCAGTGGAGTGTCTGATAGTCTGTTAAGAGACACCATCATGATCATAATGTGACAGTATGGTAGAGTCCAAAACGTGGTTTTTCTATAGTCCAGGCATAACGAAACTCTGTTATACTGCAAAAAACCATGTGAGCCTGTTCTGCTCGAATGGTTGGCGGCTCCGTCTCCCCGAAGAACCCGAAGTCCGGTTACCTTGTTAACAGGCATAAAACCAAGACATCACCGCTCCAGCCGATTCTTCAAACTTGCAACGAGGCCTGCGTGGGCGCGTATGGGTGGAATTTAGCTTTGGGGATTTGGCATGCTTTGCTGGCGGATGGTGAACTACCGTTGCCAATCGAAACCATGCGCAGCCTAACCGAGGCATGAACCCTGCTGGTTTCAAGTATCTACAATGGACGGTGGGTTTTCTTCTAAGGTGCACGTGCAGGGGACTTACTTTCATAATGAAAAAGCAGACTTGTAAGCTGGAGCTTGGAAGAACCAGTGTCATGGCTGGTCTCGACTGAGCCTCTCCCTTTTGGCTGTAGACTGCAGGGTCTGTCGGGGTTCTCGGGCTCTCAAGCCGTATTTTCCCTCAATCAAAGTCATACTCACCGCAGGCGCCTCATATTGAAGCCCTTGCTTATCAGCTAAACGGCAGGTAACAGGCGACACTTCATGCACCATGTTTCCTGTTTCCTTGGCTTTACAGTGCAGTGCTGCGCCCAACTCATGTTGCGAGAGGCGTGGCTTCCTATTTGGGTCTTGAAAGTAGCAAGGCATCCGAGCAAGCAGGAAAGACAGGCGTACAAACCCCCGGAAACTTTGCAGCATTCATATTGAGGGCACCGATCCAGAGCGAGGGCTGGCGACAGACCCTGGGTGGCCTGCTCTGGACAACGTTTGCAACAAGAGCTGTTTAGCGACAACTCCCTGCCGGACAATGTCCATCTCGCACGTGTGTGCATGAGTTGGAGAAAGCCCCCAAACTCCCAGACCTGAACCCGCGAAAAGAGTTTCACCTAAGCCCTTCCATTCGCACGCCCAAAGCCTGACCCAGCGGAGCCCAGACAGAACAACAGGCTTCAAACGTAGACCAAGAATCCTGGAGCCTGAACCTTCAGTCTTAAAGCTTCACTTCTAAAACTCGCATCCTAGAAGCTCAACCAAAAATAATTCCCAAGTCCTACTTCCAATAGAAGGAGCCGGGTTTCGGACTCTTCGGGCAGCTGCTGGCGCGTGCTAAGGGCTCCTGGGCTTGACTCTGTCTGAGCGCCCTTCGAGGGCTACCGGTTTTAGGGGAGTTTTAGAGGTTTAGGGTTTTGGATTCTTGGATATGGGTCGCAGAGGTTTTGGTCGGACTTGCTTAGAATGGCATGTACGTATGTTTGTATGTGTACATGTAGGTATATGTCTCTGTGTGTGTGTGCGCATATATGAATTCGGTGTATGGATATGCAGAACATAGATGGATGTACACATATATGCATATATACATATATACATATATACATATACACACACATACATACACGTATATATATATATATGCCTACATACTTGCATGCATGCATGCATGCATGCATGGATGGATGGATGGATGGATGGATGGATGGATGGATATGTATATGTATATGTATATGTATATGTATATGTATATGTATATGTATATGTATATGTATATGTATATGTATATGTATAAAGATAAGTATACACATATACACATATGTGCGCTTACATGTATATGCATATGTGCATATACACACGCAGGTGCGCATGCAAACTTTCATTTCGAAGAGACTACAGCACCTGCGGAGATACATGTGCACAAACGTGATTTCACGAGCGACGTCAGTCTGGTCTCTTGGTGCCGCGAGACTTGAACATGTGTCCTCATCGTTTGGTGAACTTGTGACTCTCGGCTGGGGGTGACGGTCAGCAGGCTTCTAGCCTCGCGTCATGTGGGTTCAGGAGATAGTCTAGAGAGAGGTTGCCACCATCCCGACAGCACCAAACCGGAAACCCTTGCGGAACGCACCGAAGGAAGTAGCACCATGGTTTCTTATCAGCGCCATAAAGATGCCGTTAGTACAGTTTGAGACCGCCGTCACTTCTTCGGACCGCGCATGTACTCTGGTCCAGCAGCGTCTATTCGGGTGCATTATTGCATTTCATTCTAGGTAGGTGTAGGCAAGTTCCTGGAAGCAAATTCTTCCCACTTGCACGAAGCTCTTGCGACAAGGCCTCACTCAGAGCCCCTTTGTCATTCGGGTTGGTCGGTCCACAACAATCGCGTCAGCAACCCTTCGATCACAAGTGTTGAGCCACTTCGACGGTGTTGCCTCTAACCCCAAACCTGAGTAGGCATGCCAGGTTTTGAGGAAGTCGCCTCGGCGCTCAGCGGCGCCGACGGACCCTTCACAGTCGCGCGACTGGAACATGTTCTGTCATTATTTGTCTATTCAGGGTAGTCGGAGGCAGGTCGAAGCCTGCTTGCCCGACGCCCATCCGAACCAGCACGAAGATCAGACATCCGCGATATGTCTCTGGGCTCGAGCTTGCAGAGTTTGAGAATGTCGAGCAAACCGGCATGCTGGACCCACAGATTTGACAAAGTGGATGGCGCAAAGAGTCGGACAGGAACAAGGGACCTGTTCGCCAGGCTCTAGAGACTTTGGGAGGAAGGGGCAGAAGGCACGAAAGGGCACACAGACTGTGAGAGCAAAACCAACTAACTTGTTGAAAGGAACAGAAATTCGAGTGAACGGAATAGGCCAGTCGACAAGAATTAGATACGTTAAAAGCTTGGAGCCTGACAAAGAGACTAGAGAATGTGGAGAAGGAACAGCAGCTGGTACGAAACAGGATTAGGCAGTCTGACAAAGAAAGAAGTTGACCCAAAGGGGTTTTGTGAAATGAAAGCGGAGCACACAGTCCGAAGCGGACTACTGAATCTCGACGTTCGAAAGGGGTGCTCAAGATCGAGAAAGACGGGCAACCTGCTCGAAGGGACCGAGGAAGTCCGTTTGGGGTTTCAGATCCTTCGTGGCGGCTTCGTGGTGTCATTTAGCAGGCTCATCAAGTCACCCTGATGTTCTTGGCCTATGGCCCAAACTATAGCGTCAGGTTTTCGTGCCTCGTGACATGGAGCTCATGGACGTCCTTGGCGGGGGCTCCCTGCAGGCGACTTGCGGTTTCGCTTTCAGGAAATCGCCCTCATATTCTCAAGGCCATGATGCAATGGTTATAAGTCCAAGGCACACATGCAACGAAGATGCGCAGACAAGAAAGCTTCCTGGGAAAGCCAAGCGAGGACATGCTGCAGACGCCACACTTGCCAGCTTTGCTGGCCTGTCACATCGTCCGAGGCCAGGAACGCTTACTACTAAAACATTTCCACTATATAATATAGCAAGACAGAAGATGCTGTTCCAAAAACCCTGTTGAGGATGCAGATAGCAGGGGGAATGGGCTTCAGTGGCAAGAGCTCGCTGCTGCACAGCGGTCTAGACAAGATTTCAGCCCCCCCAACTGAATCGCTCAAATGGGGCATGGTGAAGCAACGACATTCAGCGACTGGGCTTCGACGAGAAGATGCCAAACCGATCAAAGAACTCTAGAGCACAGCACTTGAAGTCCAAGCCACAAGCCTGACGGCTTGACTGTAAGCCTGAGTCTGTAAATGTTAAATTCATTATGCAGTATGCTAACGGCTGCCCGAACGGGCGGCGGAGTCTGCTGCTTCTTGATCCGCTGTCTTGCCCGGAGACTGTAGCTGACAAAAGACGTAATCCCGCACATCTAAGCTAGAGGGCGCGATGACAAATCCAAGCCTTTGCCACGATGAGGCAAAGTGCCCTTTGAGGCACCTTGGCCGGAGTATGTGCGAATAAGGGCTGAAGTGAAGTCCTGCTCATGGTGCGCTTGTGTTTTCTGTGATAACTTCCTTTGTCGTTTCTTTTTGATATGTTGAAGGCCTGCAAGAAGCACAAACAGCTCTCTATTGTCTCTATATATCAAGCTGCGTCAGTTCTTTGGGAATTTCACCTCTCTGAGCCTCTTTGTGACAAGGTTTTGGCAGCTAGAGTCCAGAGCCTGGCGGGCTTTGCTGTCTTTCCCGACCCTGGCCACAAACTGCTGAAGCCTAAAACCTCGCAATGTCCTCACAATTCAGAAGGTGTTTATGAAGAGGTTTCTAGATCGCAGCTGGGCTTCGCTTACGGCTCCAAGTAAGTGGTTCCGTAAGGCGAGACCTTAAGTTGAGAAGTCATGTCAGTCATGTCTGGTGGCAAAGAAAAAGCCGATCCGAATGCGCGTTCGTGTAAGTTACAGCAGACTTGCGCTTAAAGCGTGCCCTTTTTGATGCCAACACTGACAGCATACTTTACACTTCAGGGTCCAGGGCTGCGTTCGGATTTGGGGGGGGCCTTTAAAAGTTGCGCCTGCTGCTTGAGTTGAACTTCTACACACGCGCCCATACTCAAACTCGAACCTCTCAAACCACAAATTGTCACAGCTTTCGTCGAGAAAAATCTTTGATCATAGCAGCGCTGTGAGCTCAAGAAGACCTGGACCATACACTCCCAGACTCCAAATTTGTCTAAATCCGAAGCCTTGAGACAGATTTCCAAGCCCTAGACCTTGAACCCGAAAGAAAACGAGACATGCGCAAAAGGCATTGTACACTGGCCGAACCCTGCGATCTATTGACGGCACGGAAGCTCGTCGGCAAGGGTCGCATCGCAGGGCGAGCCTAGGGTGCAGTTTCATGAGGGAAGCAGGCAGTGTACTGATATTATCAGCATCTAGCCATGGTTCGATGATCGTTCCTGCCCTTATCAAGGAGGCACACCTTCGAGATCTAGCCTCTGTAAACTTTAGGGGCTGATGGGTACAGTGAGTGAACATCGACGGAGGCATGTGTCCGGCCTAAGACACGCCTGGCCTACAAACGGGCGATGCCCTAGAACTCAAAGAAATGGCTGCCAGATCGAGCAACAGCAACAGGGTCCCGGAGCAACCGACTGCAGTCCCCATCCCCGATGCCAAGACTTGCACAACAAACCCTCGGAGCTCCAAAACCGAATGCAAGCACCCAAGAGCGCAAACCCTGAACCCTGCCACCAATAAGTGCCTTTGATTGCTTGCGTGTGCTAGGTTGCTCGACTCGGCATCATGCCCCGACATGCTTGTGCTGAGATTCTGATGGTTACCTTCACCCAGTGGCCCCGCGGCGGCCCCTGCATCAACGAAATCCGGGGAGATCATATGGCCTCTCGGCTTGCTTCAGGAATGCACAGTGCAGAGGACAGTTTGGGCGACTGGATGTGGAACATCCACGGTCTAGAAGGGACGTATAGGGTCTAGAAGGGACGTATAGGGTTTTGAAGCACATTCTCAGTCCTGAAACCTAAACCTCAAACCAGGTTCCGAATGTCTGCATCCCATCCCTGATAAATGCACAGCGTTTCAGAAAAAGCACATCCTAAAACTTTACATACATCATCCTCCAATGTAAACAGACTCCTGGGCAGAGGAGGCGTGTTCAAAAGCGGGACTCTTGAGGCACATGCTCTTCATAAAGGTAAAAACCCCACGGGCCCGAAATCCAGAGCAGGCCGTAAATGGGAAAACTGCATTCGATTATTCTGTGCAGCGTTTCGAGCCTCGGTTGATGATCGGCTGATGATCTCCAACCCAATGCCCTGTAATCATTACTGTAGTGTAATTCCGTCCAGGCTTTCGGCTTAGTCAGTTTTGCAGACCGCACCTACTTACGCTGGGTTAGAGAACATTTTTCCTAATAGACGGTTGGATCCGGTTGCGTGGCTTCGGGAAAGTTGCTCACGGCCGATTGTTGACCATCTGCGTTAGGACTCGAAGCACTCCATTTTAAACCGGTTCATGAAAAGCACCCACATTGATCCACATGCCTAAAAGTCTCAAGCAACACATGCTACCCCAAACCGCAAGATGAACAAGCATCCAGTCATAGCACCCCTCTCCCCACACCGAAGCCCTTTCCCGAATCAGAAATCTCTGTTTTGACTTCCCAAGATTGGATCCCTCACACGGACGCAATATTAGATGTGAGCCCTGAGGCAAGAGCCTGAAACCCTAAACCTTTGACTCGAGAGCCTGCGAAGTCCATGCAAACACAAGCTTATTTCCCGGAGATCTTCAGCTCTCAGACTCCAAGAATCAAAGAGCTCTACGACATTACACCCTGAATTGTGGGTCACCTTCTGCTCTCAATCCCACATCAATAGTTCCATGATCCCCTCTCGCAGTACAGAAGGACCCTTCCTGTTGCAAAGGACATCTTTTGTTCCAACGGCGTCATCCACGTCATCCAAGGCCTGGAAGTTGAATGAGCTTCATTAGCACATGTATCGTCGTACCAGTGCGTTGGTGTACCTCGTACGCTCAACCTCAGTCTTCACCCTCGCTTACATTTATGCTGGGCAGGTGTCTTGCGGCCTGCACCGCGGCCCGGCCAGCGCCGCTGACCGCCCAGCGCTCAAGGGGTTTAGGGTTCCGGGTTGTTTTTCAATCGGCTTGGTCCCACAGGATCTGCATGTTGGGGCTTGAACTTCCAACGCAAACCGCACAAAAAAGAAGGTCCACGCCAGCTTGGCCGCTTGGCCCCGGTCGAAAAATGTTGGTCTCACATCGCGGCCGACCAAGACGGTCGGAGCTTGCACTCCCTGCCTGGGCTATGGTTAGGGTCATCTATGGTCTAAACTCTACGGTGCACAACTCGATGTGCAAGCTTGTTGAAGGACTACGTCATGCTGAGCAGAGAGAAACCCTGCCCAACCTTGTATGCCAAACAGATCCCACATGAAGCTACTGCATTCCCAATCTGTAAATCATCAGCCGAAGCATGGGGCCCGACAGGCCTGAACATGCATAAACAGGCCATCCTTGAGCCAGGGGCCACAAGACCTACAGTTGCAAGCTGATGCCAGGCTCTGAACTGGCGGTTCAGAAATCAGAATCATTGAGCTCAGCCGGAAGCTCGAAACCGTAGACATTGCCTATGCTGCATGCACTTGACTATATGACCCCTCAACCGGCTCAGACAGGCAAGGTTTCACCCAATGCAACCATTAACAGGCCACTGCTCACTGTGGTCTTGATGTGGGCTTCAGTCTTTCAGGGTTTCGGGTGCTTGGGGTGTCGGTGAAGCATCCTGATTTTGCGTGTTCAGTTCACTCCTGGTCCTAGGCCCAACCTGGAACTTACGACCTGAATCTCACACATTCGCCTTATGCCGGGCCTTATGCTGCTAGCAAACTGTGATGTTTCAACTCTCGGGTGTGAAATTTCGGATCGTCGGGTGCCCCGGTCCTGCTCTGGGCAACCGGAGCATGGCCATCTTTTCAAAGCCCTATGCCTATGCCCTATGCCCCAACATCGGGGGCACGGAGCGCGAATGTAGATATCGGTCAGAAAGTACCAGAACGCAATGATGCAGGTTGAGAACACGGGGTATACGGTTAAGCTCAATATGGCTCAATATCTAGTTCTCTGGGCAGAGCTAGGGGCTGTTCAGAGGTGATATCGTGTTGTGATGTGATCAGCCAACCACAAGCCTCAAGGAGGACACCACCCATTGTAACGTAAGCCCGGTGTAGTGCCCCAACGCTACAGCGCTCTGTATTAGCACATTACAGACACATGCTCCTGGACAGCGAGCTTCTTGGGATTAGCGATGGCCACTACTTCGGGTGGTTCCCGGGTGCATGTTTCGAAGTCTAGGTTTGGGAGTAGAAGGGGTTTACAGATCAGAGGTGAACACTAGCACGATACTGTGCGATTCTCTCATGCAGAGTCAGTGGTCTCGCAGGAGTGTCTCACTTGGAAGAATAGTACGGGCTACAGAGAACCTTGCGGGCTGCGCCCCAAACCCTGTCATTCCATTCTTTCGAATTAAGCTCCTGTCCATCGATCCGACTGTTGCGGGGCCTACTTTAACCATGATTCTGCTCATGTATAAAATTGTGTTCCAGGGCATGAAAGGTCGTCCTCCCCTGCTTCACTGGACACTTAACGTCAAGACCAGGAATCCTAAGGCCGTAGCACTGCATCACTCCAAGGTGTCCCCAATCTCTGTGTTGCCCGGGCTTGCAATTTGAGCAGCTGAAAACAAGTGCGTGGACGCATAATTTCCCATCGTGTCTTGCCGGACACTCTTGTGACTCATATTGATCATTTCTAATCTTAGCAGGATCTGTGCACTGTAAACTGTAAACTCATTAAAAAAAACCCTGCTCGGCCTGCCATCTTGTCCGAAGGCGCATCAGCACAGCATCACTTCATCAATAGGGCATGGAGGGGGATATCTCATCTTCCTAAACCTAGGTTGTTATTGATTCCTTTCGGGTTCGATCCGCTTCCTGAGGAAGCGGACAAGAACCGTCGAAACAGCAGGGGAGAAGTACTACAGTACTACAGATACAAACCAGAAGAAATAAGCCATCGAACGAACATTCAGGCTATATACTTTTTAACAGCCCGAAATCCCCACAACTTGAACCCTAAACTTCAAGTCACTAGAGACTTTCATTCCGCGCCTTAAGCACTCAAGGGCTGAAGCGCTGCCCCTCTGCAGAGTGCCACGAGATGGGAATTCATTTTCAGCTTTGGGTTTTTTGCCCTGGCCAGAAAATCATCCCTGACAAAGTATCCAAACCCCTCATGGCCTAAGCTCCGAACCCCATAAATCCTGAGCCCTGCGCCCCGAACTCCAAGCAGAAGACCAGACCACGACTAACGTTTGCACCCCCTCTTCTGAAAAGAACACAAAAACTGCAAGCCAACACACTTTCAGAGCACTTTCGGCACAGGCGGAGACCGGCCAAGAGGAGCTTTCGGCCCGACAGCCATCGGTTGCTTTGGGTTTAATCAGGCTCCACGAGGTCAAGGCTTGGGCTTGAACTAGACGTAAGTTAACTGCTCTGTGTCACCATTCGGGATCTGTGAATGGCACATTCCGTTGAGGTGTTGCGGACTTCGATTCGGACTTCGGGCTATTCAGTGGAAGAGTGTTTGAATGTGCGAGTGTGTCTCGGAAATGCCGGGATTCAAGTAGGGGAACTGGTGGGATGGACAGTGAACCTTTTATCAAGTGATTGTTGCGTGGCACGGCTCCTGTAACCCAGCGTCCAAAGATCCTAAATATTCGCACTGGCCGTAATTTGGGGCTCAGCATGTTCAGACAAACCCCTTTCATTTTAGTTGAGTATCATGGTTCCCGGCAGTCGGATGTAGAGAGGTCTGAGTCTGAGGCAGTCTTCATCCTCCCAGCTCCTGTGTCGCACCAGAAGTCTTGAGGTTGCCCCCCAAAACTCCGAAATCGTAAAGACTGAAAGTGTTTGTTCGTGTGGCCATTTGTCAATATCGGTTATGCCACAGTCACCCCAAACAGAACAACAGCAACAACACATCAACTCCTGTTCTAACTGTTCATAATGCCAACTATAAGTTATCCCCATAGCCTTAGGATTTGGGGCACTTGGCTTTCGGGAAGGACCCCCGCCTGTTCCGTGGCTTCGCGTTGCGCCACATTGGCCCGGAGGCGGCCCAGCAGAAGGCCGCACCACTGCACGGCGCATGTCCAAAAGTCTCGGTCGGGGCGGGGACGAGATGTTCCGAGTTCTGAAGTGGCAACATTTTAGCTGAAGTGCAATACTCCTGATGGCATACTCAAACGCCTGCATGCCTGTATGCATGTATGCATGTATGTATGTATGTATGTATGTATGTATGTATGTATGTATGTATGTATGTATATATGTATGTATGTATGTATGTATGTATGTATACATGCATGCTTGCACAT